TGCTATCATGCTATCAATCTAGCTTACGAGTCATCATCCCTGCGTGAACTCCCTGCAAAAACACGACTTCTTGTCCCAGTGTCCATTCTGTTCTCTATATGGTTCTCTATCCTTCCAGTAGTGGCCCCTACCTGAGTCATCCCTGAATTTTTTTCGCACCAATGCTTATCACAGTGAATGTGGCTAGGCTTGGACATAGGTCCCCTAATCATGGACTTGCATTCCCATGTCATGTGGCATGAGTCCCCTAAGCCCCGCTGAAGTAATTTCTATCTAGCTCAACAGACCGCGACATACATACTCAAACCCTAGTGCCTGCCAGAACTTTCCAACGAACGCTACCAACTCCTTCCTGAGTATTTACCTAAGCCCTAAAGGCCTTTTATGGATATATGGGGGGGGCCCGCCAACTCCTGAATGCCAAGCCTTTAGTGTGTGCCTAATACCTCCCCCCGAAAATTCAACCTGAACCCCAACAGAGTTTAGGGTTTCGGGTTTACGGCTAACACCCTACACCCTTAAATGCTGAATCCCTGAAACTTAGGGCCCAGACCTGTAAACCCTACAACCCTCAACCCCAACCACCTCCTAACCCTAAAACCATAATCCAGAAGTTCTTTTCCTGGATGTCAGGTCGCGAAGCGCATACCCAAGGAGCGGATGGAGGCAAACGTCCCGATTTCTAACTTTAGACGTATGGGTTTAGGGGGATTCCATGGACTTGAGGGTATATATAGGGTATATAGTAGGTATGTAAGGATGCTAGGGTTAAGGGCCCATACTAGGGACCCATGGTAACCTCAGACCCATTGACTCCTCAAGCTTGGAAGCTTTGGCCTTAACCGGGCTTTGTTGGGGGGTCATCTGAGTCATAATCTAAAATCCTTCAAGGGATTTATACAGGGATTATCATATAGCGAATTATTATGGGGGTTACTAATGGGGGATACTAGGAGTTTAGACTATAGCTCATCTGCTTGCAATATGCTAGCAATGAGCCTACTGACTCTGAGATTCTCCAACTAAATGCCTTAGCTACGGGAATTTATCAAGCTTGAGGGCTTTTTCAGGTTACGGTCTAGAATACAGCATCGAGATGCATTGAGATTGTTGTGCTACTATCAGCTAGCGGTTCTTGTTCGCACGCGCACTGTTAAGATAGCTCATTGGTTGACCTTGTTCGATGCTCTGGGGAGCAGAAAGGTAGGAAAAAAAATGGTTCCTACTAAACTGTAAGGTTTATATAAGGGACTACTACGAGGATCCATACCTTCATTCCTTGCGAACCCGAGGCAAGTGATTGACCATAGTATGGGGTGCCATGTGGGATTCCTATTTTGATTCATGTCCCTCTATTGGTCTCCCCAACTCAGGGAGCGTAAGTCCCTCCACGAATTTTGGAACTAAACCCTAAACCCTAAACCCTAAACCCTAATTCGCTTCGCGTGGCGTAGGTGCCCAAGGAGGAGATCGAGCGTGAGATGGAGGCGAGGGCTGACTGTGAGAATTGATCCATAAGGGTTTGGGCTCAGGCACCTGAACTTCAAACCCAGAAGGGTTTAGGGTTTTAGGGTTTAGGGATAACCTTAAACCCTGAACCCGAATCCCTAAGCCCTACATAAACCCGGTCAGGATTTTACATTTAGGGTTCCAGGCTCCTCACATCCCCCCTGATATTATGGAAGTTGCGTAAGATGATTCTTACATGATAAATCTGAGCCTCCCCATTTCTCGCAAAGCGGCCCCTAACCGTAACCTCCATGTCTTCATATGAAGTGAATGTCTCTACGGGTACCCCTAAGTATCTTGAGAATCCCGCCAGCCAGCTTTCTGCCTTGTTATGGGGCTGCACAGGCAACATATTATTAAAACATACCGTTGCAGAGAGTGGTTTATGTACTTATCTATAGGATAAATGTTGGAATGCGGAATCTTTGATTGTAGCTGTAAGCATTTTTTGTGCAAGGGTATGTGTGTTCAGGACAACTTACACTAAGGAACAGCAAAAAACAATTTCTACTTGGGTTCCAGGTTCTCCATAGAAGCATCCCTGAGAGAACTTTGTCATGTGCTTTGTTAGGTCGATATTTCCCAACTTGTCTCACGATCGAGGAGGATTTCCTTAGATGAGGGTAAGACTGACACTTAGAAGCATCAGGCCTCCGAAATGGAGCTAGCAAAGGCAGCGACCAAAAGTGATAATTGGTAATCCCAAGCCGTTAGCCCTAAACTGCAAACCCTAAGTCCCCAAACCCTAACCCCTAAACCGTAGGGATTTAGTGTTTAGGTTGGGTATTGCCCCCCCCTCACCAACAGTTGGATAGTAATTATGATATGGTTATGTATAGCCTTTAATAGGACCCCTAATATAGACTGTTACTGGGGGGGGGCAGTACCCAAGGTTTAGGGTTTAGGGTTCAAAACCCCAAACCCTAAACCCTAAACCCTAAACCTTAACCCCTAAACCCTAAACCCTAAACCCTAAACCCTAAACCCCTAAACACTAAACCCTAAACCCTAGGGTTTTATCCCCCCAGGTGCTCCGAAAACTGGATCATCCCCACATTGTTCGCCTTTTCGAGTGGTTTGAGTGGCCCAGCCGCGCTTGATGCTCTCCAAGGGTTGATGATCCCCAACGTGGTCTAAGGGTTTAGGGTTTAGGGTTTGGGATTTAGGGTTTAGGGTTTAGGGTTTAGGCTTCTGGTTTGGCGGAATTTCTTTGAGGAATTGTGTATTTTGCGAAAATTTGGGGATCCCTTTCTGGAAGTCCGTCTAACTCTTAAAAGGATTATAGTGTATTGGGGCCCCGTGACTTTGGAAACTGCCACGTGAGCTATTGCCAATATCAGGCTTGTACCAAGGGAACACGAAGGATCCACCTAGCGGTCCCACGGGCAGTGTACAACAGTTCCTACTTTATTCCCTCAAAGCAGCCCATGTCCAGCTTATGTGGGTTTCGGATTTAGGGCTTTAGGGTTTCGGGGTGTAGGCTTTAGGGTTTAGTAGGATTTGGGGTTTAGGGTTGAGGGATACGAGGGGCATTTGCTCCTCCTGACACAGCTCGGCATAGCTTGTTCGCTCCCGCCAGCTAAATGGACCCCTTGCAAGGGGGATCAAAAAAATAGGGTTTAGGGTTTAGGGTTTTATAGGGTTTTATAGGGTTTAGGGTTTGGGTAGTTTTATTGGCCATATTCTTTGGGTTCAGGTTGTTTGGGGGGAGTATATACCCAAAGCACTACATACCCTAACCCGAATGTACCTAAACCCTGACTACCCTATTTACCTTCGTTTATCCTTGTATATTACAGCGCTGCAGCGCTTGCTTCATGGGTTCCCCTACTACACGGTTTTAGGGTTTAGGGTTTAGGGTTTAGGGTGCCCCCTAGGTTCCCCCCTTAATTGACGTTATTTAGGCCTAACTATCCCCATATACACTTAAATAAGGGGGGAACCCAGGGGAGGAGTAGTGTAGAGGGGGTAATAGGGGAACCCATGATGGCTACAGACTTTGCTATCAGACCCTAGGTTCTTAGAAATTTTGGCCTGGGATTCGGGTTTAGTGTTTAGGGTTTGAGGGTTTATGGTTTAGGGATATAGGGACTAGGGTTTTAGGGTGTAGTGTTTTACGGATTAGGAATTTAGGGTTTAGGGATTTACGGTTAATTAGGGTTTATAGATTGGTGTTTAGGGTTTTTAAGGGCTTTATTATTGGAGTATAGGGATCCCCATACAGCGTTCGCAGGTTATATTGGTTCCAGGGTTTGAGTAGAGAAGCAAGGGGAAAAGAGTATGGAAACTGACATGGGAACTGAGTTCAGATGTTGTTAATCCTAAGATCTTCATTCGAGCCCTATCACAATATCCCTGTTGTAGAAACGTCTGCCCAGATGCCATGCAGGTTGCAACAGCTTCCCGTTTCAAGCGCTTGCAAACGAAAGTCTCTCCGACACCCTTCAAACTCCAAATCTTCAGTTTTACAAACCGGGACCTTGGGAGCCCTTTCAGAAACAGAGGATTTAGGGTTTAGGGTTTAGGGTTTCTCCAAATCTTGAAAACCTAGTTTAGAGTTTCAGATCCAGGTTGCAATCTTGAACCCTCAACCCGAACCCCAAGCCATAAACCCAAACCCGAAGCCCTATGCCTTAAACCTGGAACTCTAAAACCTAAAGCTCTAAACCTGAAGCCCTAAACCTGAAACTCTGAACCCTAAACCCTGCACACTAAACACGTTTGCTTCAGGTCCGACCGATTCTTCTATCTCGCGGCGTTCTCAGTTCGCTCTTCTTGCTGTGAATGGCATACAGGGGCTCTTGGGTTTAGGGTTTGGGGTTTAGGCTAGGCAAGGGGCAACCAAATCAAAAAGCAAGTGGAACATGACATGAGCCTAAGCACTTCCCAGGGCCATAATATTGGGTTTGGGTTTGCTTACTGCTGGTTAGTGGTGAATGCAGCACTGCAAAATGCAATGAAAACGGTACAGGGTGAAAAGTGGTTTAAGGTTTGGGGTATTGGTTGGTTACTTGAAGAAACATCGAGATTTACGGCCCTGTGCTAATTCTGCACTCATAATTCTACCTAGCACACTCATCGCCACATTCGGCGATGATGCGGGCTTATAACTTGGTTTTCAGTACCGTTGCACGCAGATTATATTGGAACTCCAATTACAACCTCAACCCGTGACCCCCAAACCCGGAACCCTACGCCCTACATATTCCAAAAACATCCAACCCTAAACCCTAAACCCTTGTATTTCTCTATCTTTCCTATTACATAAACTATCTGCAAGCACGTCACAACTACCCATGAACCTCAGAGTAGACCCTCCAAGTACTCCCCAAGCCTTAAATCCCAGACCCTAAACGCCCTAAACCCTATATACACTCTAACCCTAATAATCCTATAGTCCTGTATAACTCTTATAGCCCCTTTAAAGGGACGGTAAACGCATATAAATTGTAGACCTGAAGCCCTAAGCTCATGGATCTGCAAATCAGGTCATGGAGGGCGCCCGGGGAGGTGACCTGGATCGAGCGCTCCGCCGGGCGAAGAAGGCCGATAAGAATTGGAAGGATATACGGTGATATACGGTTTAGGGCTAAGGGTTCAGGGTCTAGGATATAGGAGGGGCTTCAGGGATGACGGTGTAGGGTTAATTCAGGGTTTTGGATTAGGTTTAGGGATCAGGCCTTTCAAGTTTTGGTTGAGGGATCACCCCCATAGCTCTCATTGGCAGTTTGACACAATCTCTCGGAGGCCTCAACTTTAGGTTTCGGTTTGCTTGTGCTGGGGTGGGTTGGGATACTTCCAGTGCATGCCCCGAACACCACATGGTTGCTACTTGCTTGTCAGTCAGTTTGTTGCGGTTTTGTGAGGTAAACCACTTGCGTATTGCGCTGTGTCGGGACATTTCCATCGCATTCTTTGGACCTATGGGGGACTCTCCTGAGATGGGGCATCCATATTCTCATTGCACAGCCGTAAGTGCACACTGCTGACCTGGGCCAACCAGCTCCTGTTGGATGAAGCAACTCGAGCCAAACAAGGCCACCGCGTGCTCCCTACCATGTCCAAGGCAGTTCCAAAATATGGGCAGGAGGTAAACGTGGGGCAGATGAAATGCAAACGCGAAGAGCTGGCTGCTATTCACAAGGCCTGGACTCCTTGTACACCTTGAAACCGTGGTCTGCAGTCCTGCCTGAGCAGTTACCCTTGTCGCCGGCGCCTGCGTGTGATGAAGCCAGCGACATGGAGCCAGAGCGGAGACAGAGTCACAGTGTGAAGAGGTCGTGGCATCCAGCCAGTCCGACTCCAGTTCGGACGATTTGGAGGAGGAGTCTGACCCATTTGCAGCATTCGATGGACCTTGGATGCTGAATGTGGCAACAGTGTGGTGTAACAAGTCCATATGTGACACTAGAGGCACGTCGTGGAGACAGGCTTGCCGGGCTCTCGGCAATTCCAGCGCTTGACCTGCAGCCAAACCGCGCTTCCAGGGCTGGACGCCTTGTGCGCAAGTTCGCTCCTGGCGATTTCAGGGCCTGCTGGCCGCTTCAAGGTCCGTGTGACTTGTGTTGGGGTGTCTCTGTACTCGAGTGGCGCCCTTGGCTTGTGCGGTCAGTTGAAGGCCCGTGCGTTCAGTGTTTAGGTCCTGTGGACCAGTAAAGGTAGGTCTGCGTGACCTGTGTATATGGGGCCGCGGGGTAGTTTATCTTCTGATATTTGTGTCGAACCTATACAATTTCGATCATCTCGCGCTGTGTGCCAATTGCAGTAAGCCTTGCGTGCACATCTGCGTTATTCCTTGCCGTGTTGAATCTGCTTGCTTTGAAGTCTTCTGTTTGCAACACCGTCGTCCAAGAGCTGGTCAAAGCAGCTGCCGTGCGCCAAAGTTATTGCCCATGCTGACTTGCTGTTCCACCAAGCATTCCGTAATGAACGCCTATGCCAAATCCATACTGGTCAAAAACCAAAGCCAGCCGCCACGATGACGAGGGCTTTGGTCCCTTTGTGCAACTTGGAAAAGTCCGAGAACAGCCATCCCTGTGCGGGGGTGTGTCCATTGGCTCTCCCGAGCCTCCAATATTTACAGGCTATTAAGTCTCACTGCAGCAGCCATCCTTGGGAATGGACTCCGTGGCGCAAAATCATCAGTGAAGCTGCTGCCGTGAAACTGCGCGACAAGAAGAAGTATGCCAAGCCGTCAGATGCGTGGGAATATGTTGCTCAATGCGCTCCGGGTGGGGACAGGATGAGCTTGAGGATGTGGGTGCGTCACTTTTCAAAGACGAGAAGTTAATGTCGGTTCATGCACACGCGTATAGCACGTTGGGATACGGGCATCCCCACTTTTGGCATGATGACATCTTCCAGTTCATAGGGTTGTATTCGGAGACCCCATCTGAGGGTTACCGCATGCCGAACGTGAAGGAAACAGAAGAGGCGGACCATCTAGCGCTGGGAGAGTTCCTCAAGCTGCTCTTCAAAGGATCCAAAGCCGACGATGCACTCCACACAGTCGTCCAGGAGCGTGATATTCTGCGTCGCCTATTGTTCTGCCCGCCCAAAGCTGTCAAAGGAGAGCAAAGGGGCCGGCAAAAGCAAGGAGCGTGAACCGCACCCCTGCAAGTCTGCTGGCAAACGACCGTTGTCGGGCCAGGAACCTGCTATGGGGGACAAGCGGACAAGGGTAACGTCTGTCTGCCACGGCTTCCAAACCGGGAAGTGCAAGCCTGCAAATTTATTCATCTTTGCACCAACTGCTTCCAGGAGGGCCGCGGGCTCCACTGAATGCAAGAAGCTGTGAGTGTCGTCCTCATCGGCGTGCCCGAAGCCTTCGGGGCTCCCAGCATGTTCTATGCATCCTGCCGCCTTGCCTGTTGATATGATTTCTAAAGACGTTGAACTCTCTCAACTTTCTTCCCAGACAGACAACTCAGGCACTGGCGATGTGGGAACAGCTGTCAGGCACTCACCGCCTGCTCTTCGAGCAGAAGTTGTTATAAACGACGATGGCGGCCATCGGAGTTCAGCGGACCAGCTCGCGCTTCGTGAGGCCAAGGACGTTCTGGGGCTGCTACGGCGCAGTTTCCCGGCTTAGTTTCAAGTTGGAATATGGTCGATCATTTGCGTGCGCATGTAGCTACCGGTTCTGCTGAGTGCATCTTGAGCGCCGACGAGACTTCCGTGCTGCGCGAGCAATTGGTGTTTTTCCTTGCTGCGGCCATGCTGCAGTCAAGAGCTCTACGGGGGCCTTGTCTCCAGTGTGCAGGCATCCGCGTTCATTAAAACAAAAATGCACTGGTGTTGGCGCACATGCTTGTTGCCGTGTAGTGTTAGAAGGTGGACAACGACTCCTGGCTTCCACGTTGCAATGTTAGTTTGGAGGAGGGTAGGACTACAGTTGATGTGTCAGGGTCTAGGGGTTAAGGCTTAGCATGTAGTTTCAGAGTTTGTGCAAAAGGTTAGTGGCATTGGAAAAACCAGTTTGTGTTCTGGGTTACGAACATTGTGCTTTGGTTTTGGTTTTGCATACATCTGAATGTTCCTAAGATTTTTTCCATACCTAAACTCGAACCCCGACATCCTAAACGCAATAATCCTACAATCCTGTAATAATATATAGCCCCTATAGCCCCCTTAAAGGGACCCTAAAGGTAGGTGCCCGAATTGCAGGCCAGTGGTCCAATAAAAGTACTATTGACATTTAAGCTCACATCTCAGGTTAGAACCGTAGACGTAGTTTGCATGCAAGACGAATCACGCATAAAGCCAGCGCACTCAGCTGTTGATAGTAGAAATTCGCACCAATATTTGAGTGCAGGAACACAAGAACAATAGTTTCAAGAACCACATTTGCTGTTGTAAGCGTCTTTGTTTTTGTCAAGACCGGATACGGCAAGCTCCAAAAGGCCGAAGTTTTGGTGCTGCGAGTGATGGTCGCGCAGTAGCCGTGGAACTCATACTGCGATTTCCCAAAACTAGCTCCTCTTGTATTGCAGAATAATGCCAAAGGGATATGGCAAAATCATGGACATCCAACCCTTCAACTTTAAGCCTTGAACCCGTCCCAAACCTCAAAACCTCATTAACTTCCTCTCCTCACTGAACCTCTCAGAGCCGGGCCCTGAAAATAAAACTTAAGGCTCAAATCGTAAATCCAAGCCTTCAATGTCCTTAAACCCTTCTAAATCCTCCTAATCCCGTGCAAATGCCCTAAACCCTTTCATCCTCGCTGTAGCCCACAAAGGAGGGCCAAAGTGGCCTCGCAGAAAAGACGGTGCGTCTCCTCATGGAGCAAGCACTGCGTGCTCTAGCCACATGGCTTGCAATTTTAAGGTTTAATTGGGTTTAAGGTTTTGGGGTTTGGGGTTTCGCTGCTGAAGGGTTTAGAGTTGTTGCGGTTTGGCATGTAAGGGGTACATAAAGGTTTAGATTTGTTTGGGTTTTAAGGTTGTAGGGTTTACGGGGTGTTATGTTGTGGGTTTTGACTTGTAGGGTGTAGGCCTACGGTTTTTGGGATTTTTGGGCCTAAGGCCTTTGACCTCGGGATACACGTTTGCACGGTTTGATAGTTTTAGGGCGTTTCAGATCAGGGTAAGGGGTGTAGGAGTATTCGGTTGTTGTTTGGGAACGTACTTTACTGCAATATGGGTATAAAGTAATTAAGAGGGTGTCCTTATGATAGCAACACAATTTAACTGCAACCCAGAGTAAATTCAGGTTTTGGTTTGGGCTGGAGTAAAGCATGCAACCTTGGCGGTTTGTTCTGCGTCATAGCTAGATCGGTGTCAAGGGCAATCCCAGATGAAAGACCACGTAGTAAATGATGCTTTACAAGACGAACGTAGATTCAGGCAGGTACATTTTTGTTAAGCAAGAGTTTCTGCAATAAACCCCTAAAGCATGCCAACTGAAGAACAACCCAGATCCCCTATTTAACGCGTGCATATCCCGAGGGCCTCAAGCGCCATTAGTTTTTATGAAATTGATCCCTGAGGTTTACATACACTCGGAGTGCGTCATCCACCGCGATGTCAAGCCCTCGAACATGATCCTCACACGGCTTGTGCCATGGCGGCCTTTCTTGCCCTAAGCCCTAAACCCTAAACCCCTAACCTCAAGTCTTAAACCCAAAGCCCTTAACCCTAAACCCAAACCTCTAAGCCCTAAGCAACAGTTTCAACCTGCAAGCTCTAAGTTCTAAGACCTGAGCCCCGAACTCCTGAATGTAACCCCCTCCAACTATAGACTCTCAAATCTCTTGCCGGGCAAAATCATGGAAGAAAGACTGAAGCCAAAACCCCAAAGTCTACAGCCCTAAACCCAAAGCGTGAAGCCCTAACCCTTTGGGTACTGAGTTTTACGCAAGGAACCAGTGCTTCACGCAGACGTAAAGTCTGCTGGCTCCAAAAAATCCCTTTACCCTAAGTCCTAAGGCCTATATGATCCCCTATTTAACCCTATATAATGCCCTATATAACTCTGTATAAACCACAATATAAGCCACTGAGGACCAACATCCACCACACCTTCTGCTCGCAGACTTCGGCATCGCCGATGTGGCTCGCCTCTGCTTGGGAAGTGTTTTGTAATAACAAAAGTTAGGGGTTAGCGTGCAGATTTTAGGGTTGAGGATTTGGGATAGTGGAAAAGAAAATGAAAACTATGTGTGCTGGAGTTTTTCGCATAAGGCTTCCATAAGGTTAGGGTGGAGTTTTGCTCACATGAATTGCCGTAAGCCCATTCTACGCTCCAAAACGGCGGAATCATCAGCCCTGACACAGCCGGTTTAGGAATTGTGGTGCTGGGTTTAGGACGAGGGGTTGGCAAGTATGGACCGCTCAAAACGCACCAAGACACAAGGACTGTCTTTCGAGGAAATTCCGGGGTTCATGGTTTAGGGTTGATATCTGTTGGGCTTGAGATTCCTTAAGCCCTAAACCCCTAAGTCCTAAGCTTCTAAACCCTAACCTTCGTACGCGGTCTTGTGTGTCCTTCTATAAGGAAATCTCAGGTTGGCAGTTTTACCCATACAGGCCTTACATAGCCGGAATAAGCTTGATGTCAGGATACCCACCTGGTAACTACTCACCTGAGTAGTATATTATTTGGGGATATTACGTATGGTACCCACTGTAGAGTAAGATTATGTCCTCCTTTTGGGGCATAGTATTTTATATAAAGAATATAATCTTACCAGGTTCAACCACCAAAAAAAGCACTTCTCACCTAAAAAAGCAAGGTTGCCGTGGAGGAACATAAGCTATCAGTACACATGTTATTCAGTATGCATCCGTAGTATGGTAATTGAATTAAAGCTCCTTTACAGCAACCCAGGCATCCTATACTCTAAAACTTAAACCCTAAACCCTAAACCCAAAACCCCAAACCCTAAACCTTAGCCAGAACCAGAAATCCCTCAATCAAGGTCTTCAAGCCCGACAGCGCGGGCAGCCTCCAGCCACAAAGCCGCACAGGAGTTTCCCAAAGCTATACTGTAGACAGCCTTCCTGGTGTTTTTTACAGGGTTTCAGGCTTTAGGATTTGTAAAGGGGCATGTATGCTTCAGATTCAGGGTTTAGTGGTCATGGGCATTTTGGTATAGGGTAGGTTCTGCGCACGTTGTTGAATTAGTGTGCGGCTCTGGTGGCATCGCTTCGTCACCATCTTCCAGCCCCATGCACCGGGCACACAGGCTCTTCTGACTCCCTAAGTCTACCTATTTATCCCAAAGACCCTCTGCTGTAAGCCCCATTGCCCGTATTACTTAGTAGACTTTCTACGTCAAAAGGGCCTGTCAGTGCTGGTGCCCCGAAGAACTTCCCTAGGTAAGCCCAACCTCTACTCATAAATGTACTTAACATGTCCCCTAAGTCCTAAACCCTGCACCCTAAATGCCTAAAAAAAGAACCAAACTCTAAGCCTAAACCGTGAACCTCAAACCCTAAACCCTAAACCCTTAGCAGTCCCAAAGCTCTGAGGAAGAAGGGGACCTGGGCGTACATGGCCCCCGAGATCTTCGAGGACCACGCTGACCTTGCAATGTTTACTCGTCCTACTTGCAGGTGAAACGAAAGGGATATATAGGGATATACAGGGGTTATATGGGGGTGTAGGGGGGCTCTAGGGTTTAGGGTATAGGGAGGCAGAAGCGGCTACTGCGGGGATGAGAACAACAAAGGGTTTCAGGCCTTTCAGGGCCCAAGGCCTGAGGGTGTACCTCTGAGTTTGACGCTGTTTTTTTGGTTTAGGGTTTAAAGTATAGGGTTTAGGATTTAGGGTTTGGGGTTGAGGGTTCATCTGAGGGCTCTTGGGCCCATATTGGTCTTGGGGAAGCTTTTTGAGGACTACCACCTTAGGGGTACAGCCCTGGAACTCCGAACCCTATAAGCCCTCGAAGCAACCAGTTCAAGCCTATCCTTCATGAATTCATTCAGGTTCTAGCTTTGTTGTAGCCCCTCCCACAGCGAAGTTTGGGATGAAACCTATTGATCCCTTATTCCAAAGTCAGGAAATATACATCTATCTCTATATATATGATTATATATGTATAGCTATAGCGATGCATTTGAGCGACCTAATGTCTTCCTACTTGCTACCACCACGGTAATCTTCATATAGATCTCATAGGCAACCTAAACCCAAGCCCACGCCTCTAAGAGGACATCATTACGCCCAAAATTGACATTTGGGCACTTGGCGTGGCAGCTGAGCATGAGCCAGTGCTATTTGGGACACCTAAAATCCCCAGGCGTAGATAGAGAGATTAGAAGTGGATTCCGGGGATGGACTGGGGTTTAGGGTTTCGGGGTTAGGGATTACACAGGGACAGGCTTGAGAAGTTCCCTCTTCTTACCAGGAGTGCCTCTCACTAGTGGTGGTTATGCTTGCATTGTCGACATAATGATGGGCTTGTCCTGTCTTTACCGCAGTCCACACCACATTCGCCTGAAGCGCAAACCGCAGACCCCCAACCCTAAACTTTAAACCCTAAGCCCTGAAACTCTGAACCCTAAACCCTAAACCCTAAACCCTTAGCCTAAACCCTAAACCCTAAACCCTTAAACCCCTAAACCCTAAACCCTTAAACCCCACCGTGCCTGAACCTGCGGGAGATGGGTCGCTCAGTGGGTTCCCTGATGTTGATGCAGATGTTAAAGGTGAAGGGTCGTCAAAAGCTTCTGAGAGGGTGAACACTATAAAAACCCTATATATCCCTATACAAACCCCATATAACCCCTATATAAAACCTTATATAACCCCAATATAATCCCTATATCCCCTTTAAAGGCCAGTCACTCTGAGGGAAAGGTACAGACCCACCTCCAAGGGTGGCTGAAGTAGTCTGAAAGTGGAGCCAACCAGCCTGGTCCCAGACCCCTTAAAGGATCCAAAAAATGGAACCCCCTAATAATCCCTTAATTTCCCCAGTGTAGTAATGGGTTCATATTGGGGGGGTTCCATTTTTTGGATCCTTTACGGGGTCTGGGGTAGTGAGGTCTTCAAGGGCGGAGTACAGATGTATTGCCTAGCGGCTGAATTCCCTGGTGTTTTGATTGCTGGGTTTGGGTACTGTAGCGATTTCAGGAGTGGTGAGCTCAAAGTTGAGCCACTTCAGGGCCGTGTTATAGAGGCATTTCCACGGGACAAGATTGTGCTGTGGAGAAAATTGAAAAGGTCCGACAAAAAACACTGATACCCAAAATCTCGAGGTATGTAATGCATCTGAAGTCTGCAAAGCTGCAAATCCCAAACCAAAAAAACTGAACGAAAGATTTGACAATCTCCTCCAGGAAACATGGAAGCGCAAACAGGCCCTATCAAACCTGTCTTGTTTAGGGATTTAGGGTCTAGGGATTTAGGGTTTAGGGATTTAGGGTTTAGGGCTTAGGGCTTAGATTGTCTTGCCCTCCAAGCCCCAAGTCCTCTACCCTGTAAGCATAAAACCAGGCGGTTCCCTAAACCCTTAACCTCAATACCCTAAACCCCAATACCCTAATGTAGGGTTTTGGGTTTAAGGTTTAGGGTTTAGGGACCCTAAACCCCAATACCCTGAATCCTCAAGTCAAACCCCAATATCCTCATGCCCTAAGCCCTACTAAGGTAGCCTTCGAGCTCCTATCTGGCAGTCGGCCCTTCGGCCAGACTCCCTTCGAAGTGCAGGTGGGTCTCAAAGCAGAAGCTTGAATCTGATTTGGGGTTTAGTCATGAGGGGTTAGGGTTTAGGATTTGAGGATTTTGGGATTTAGGGTTTAGGGTTTCGGGATTAGGGTTTAGGGTTTAGGATTGCTTTATAGTAAAAGGGATAATGGAGAATCAAATGGCGGAGGAGATGGAACATGAAATGGTAGCTGGGCTTTGCAGCATGCTTGATGTGAAGCCTACTTCCCAACATGCAAACAGAGAGGAAGAGAGAGAAAGAGAGAAAGAGAGAGAGAGAGAGAGAGAGCTATATATATATATATACACAGTCTACTTTACCTCAGAACTTGATGCGAGTGATTTAAGCCATTACATCAACTTCCCCGCTGTGCACGAATGATCTTATAGGGAGATTTCTTGGGTTTAGGCTTCAGTTTTTACAGTGTAGGGTCTAGGGCCTAAGGTTGAGGTGTAGTTGAGGTATCCCTCTCCTGCATAGCAGGGACCGTCTCGTAAGGAGCTTATGAGGAGGTCGTGTGAAGTAGGATTCTGATGAGAGTTCCCGACCAAATCCTTCTCAAGTCCACAAGTGCGACGGACAAGCCCGCATTATGGAGGCTTTAGGTTGCGAGGACCCCAACCTGGCCGTATAGGATCTCTCTCTCATCAGGCATCACGGTGGGTTACCAAGCCCTAAGCCCTAAACCATCCTAAACCCCAATCGTGGTAGGTTTCCACCTGCTACGACCCTGACCCTGTGGATGTCTCAGCGGTGCGTTCTGCGGGTGCCAGTCAGGCAAGGGTCACTTGTGTGATGATCTCACCTACTCGGAGGGTCAGGGCAACTTAGTAATAATAATGGAAGAGAAAACGGAAAGTACTGTAGTATTTAGGGTTTAAGGTTTAGGGTTTAGGGTTAAGGGTCAGGGGGACTTAGTAAGTAGGTTAGTAATTGGGGTATTCACCTAAGTACCCCTGACCCTCCAAACATGCTTGGAAGTGTCGGCCCCTTAGCTCTTTTAAGAAAGTCTAGGGCCTTTTAAGGGTATTTGTACGGATTTGCAGATAAAGATAGAGATGCCTAAGCCCCAAACCCTAAACCCTGAACCCCAAACCCCTGAGCCCTAACCCCGAAACCTCAATTCCTAAACGCGTCGGAGCAATGACGCTTCCCTCAAAACGAAGTCCGAGATCCACGAGACCTGGGCAGAATCTAAACTGGCTTTGTAGATCTTCTGTAGAACCTGGAAACTTGGTCCTGCTGTGACGGGCCTGAACAATCAGCAGTATGACGGTCCTAGATTCCTTGTAGGACTGTAGTACTGTAGTATAAGATGTTATAGGCTCCCTGCAATAGATTCCAAAGCAGTGGTGGTAATCATTCCGTAGACCCCGAACCTGGATGCTAAACTCCGGA